GTTCCAAGCTGCCAAATGCCTTCTACCTTCATTACATAGGAATGTAAAATTGGAGCTAGACAGACTGGGGATTTTTTTTCCTCTGCTAAGCAAAATAAAATTACTTGGTGGAATAAAGTGCTAGTGACCTAAATTCAGTATAAAATGCTCAGAAGTGTTTCCTTTGTTTGGCAGTTTGAGCTAGGAATTCACTTAGTGAGCATTACTAAGAATTTAGAGCTCAACTGAGAAGTGAACCACTGTCCATTTGAACTTTTTGATACAAACGACTGTGCTTATCTAATCAGGTGAAATTTGGACTCCGGGAATGGATCCTCGGAAGGGTGGAATATGATACACGTGTGAATGACATCCCACTGAATCTTATTTTGCCACTGGTACTTATTCCTATGATAGCAATCATCGTCATTTCTATCACCTGTTACAGGTAAGTTCCTTTAATTAGGTGGTTTTGCTGTACTAAAGCTTTCAAGGTACTACCTGATTGTTTTCAACTCAGTCTACAGAAATCATCTTTTTTATGAGCTGCAGAGTTAAGAAAGGCAGTTACAGCTGGAAATACGTATGAGCACCAATTTATTCCTCTCACGTACACGAAATTCCTTGGTGTCACTCAGCTCAGTCCATCCTTTGTACATAAGCATGACAATTGGTCCCAGGCTTGCCCAACACACAATTGCAGACTGAGTTGCATGCGTGCATTCTTGAAATGGCAGCTAAAGTGCCGCTTGTGAAGGAGATCACTTATTCTGTATACATATCCATCAGCATCTATGCTGCCTCAGTCAGCATTGTAGGTTTGAGCTGGATGGATTTGGCTAAGGGGTCATTTTGGCCTTTCCAGCTGAGATAAGTGTTACCCACACATAAATTTCATGATTAATGGTGAAATTCATGCTTCACAAAGGGCCAGAACAATATCTGTATTTCACTTAAGACCTACTTACCTCAATTTTAAGGTTAGTAACGAGGGCCTCCAACTGTCCCTCAGGAGGGAGTGGATTTCACTCTTATGGTGCATATCAATATAGGTGAAGCAATGCCCAAGTATGTGGGAACAGCACTGATGTTCTCGTGGACCTCCTGCAACCTTCTCAGTTCAGTCCCAGGCATACTCCTGGGTGACTCAGAGCCAGTGCAGGATATGTTTCAAGCAGTCTTTTTTCTGTACATACAAATTGAGTTTCTGTACTTAATGTGTGATTGAAAGCATTTGTAGCCACTGCTTACTGGATTTTAAATCACTAGCCCAAGTGTGCTTTGAAGCAGCAGGCCCTCGATGGTGCCAGGTTGATTTACACAGAGTGAAGACTTGGTCAACTGTTGCTGTTCTCCTCCTCCGTTCTCTTTCTGCTACCAGTGTTTAAAAACAAATCAAAACCAGGAAAGTGTCATCCAGTCCTTTGGCTTTCCACTCAGAGCTGTTGCAAATTATTTACTTTTGCAGTTTATAACTTTTTTTAAAATCTTACCTCTGTTCCGTAAAGACGCCAGAGCGAGCAAGCAGAACGGGAGTATGAAAAAATTAAATCACAACTTGAAGGCCTGGAGGAGAGTGTCAGAGACCGGTGCAAGAAGGAATTCACAGGTATGACAGATATTTGCACTGCTATGGGTCCTCTTTGAGCAGTCAGAAGATGGGCTGGAGGAATGGTGCTAGCTTGCTAAAACTGTCTTCTGGGATCAAATAATTAGCAGATCTTAGTAGTCTTGATTCCTGACATGTGCATACAACAGATATTTTGTTATTATATATGAAATAAAATAGAGAGCTGAGGTTATTAAAGGGAATGGATAGTTTTAGTCTAAAGGAAGCACAGAGTTAGCAACTGGGAAATCGAAACTAGTTGAGATTGGGGTTACTTATAGCCATTAATGTAAGTGGCTATTGATACGGAAGAAAGAATATTTTATAGTGACTAACCATGCACTTAGTATTTAGCACAATGGCTATATGTGCCAAGTATGCACATTAAAAACTATTTTCAGAGCTGCAAAATTTATTTGCAACAATCAGCTTACAAAAGGATAATTTAGCAAGCTCACAGGAAAGAAATAGTGTTTTGCCCTGTTTATTGTGGGAAAACCTTTAGCTTGATTTGAGGAGCTAGCTGATTGTTCTATGTAAATGTAGAGGCACCATCCCAGGGAAGGCAGCAGGAGGCGGGAAGGCTCAGCATTTCTACATGTTGAACTACTCATTGCAACACTTAAATTAGGCATCTGAGTGCAAACATTGCAAATGTTGGCCTAAATGATTACCATGAAATGTCACCTCATTATCTGAATTACACTTGCTGTTGGGTCATGTTGAAATAATCTCTATTAAAAAAGGAAAAAAAAAAAAACACCACATGTTTTCTTTCTAAAGAGAAATAGATTCTTTTGTATTGACAGTGGCTAAAAAGCAGGATTGAATTAAAAAGCAATTTCAGATTAGAGTTTGAAATTAATTGAAGAAGCTGATGGTATCTCAAAGATTTCGGCCATGCTGGAAGTCTCTCCCAGTTTTGTTTTTCTGGCATTTCTGGGACAGGATGTTCTTTACTTGTACCAGCTTGCTTTCTCTGGAAAACCAACTCCTTCCAGGTTCTGGACACAAACTAGAAGCACATGTTTCAATCAAGAACTATTCCCAAATGAGCTTCATTGCAAACTGCATTTTGAACTGTGAGAGGATCGATCAAGGTTAGCAGCCCTCCCTCTCACCACCTCTCTCATGGAACTTCGTACCTGTTTCTGAAAGGAGAAGGTGCCTTTCTCTTGCTAACACTCCTAGCAGGGGGCTTCAGGCTCCTGCTGCATGTTGGGTTGAAGGTTTCCTCTCTGCTCCACCAAGCACAAACACTGGGGAAGCAGAATGCACATCCAAGGAGTATTCCAGTTCCTAAACTCCATCCACCTTGGCTGACAGTAAAACGAAACACTGAAGTCAAAACATGTTCTGGATCCACACTGTGACACTTTAGTGTCAACAGCATAAAGTGCAGACAGTTTAAAATACATGGAACCAAAGATAGCCAAGGAAAGGGACATCAGGGAGGAAGTACAAATACCACAAAGCTGGAAACCACAAGATGCTTTCTCCTTCAACTTTGCTGAATGCTATAAAACAAAGAGCTAAATGAATGAATAAGAGCAATAAAATTGCTGATACAATAGGTCACTATATTAATTAACATGGTATTCTAGTCAATCAGCAATACTGGGTAATTGGAAAGCCTTCAGCTAGAAGAGCTGCTCCAAAGGATGATTCCTTAATTGTTGTCCCTTTTAAGAATTTCAGAGCTTTTGAGTCCCACAGAAATGTTTCCATCAATTTCAATGAACCATTTAACCTTCTTCCTTCCTGCCATCCCCTTTCTTCCAATTAAATTAGCATGCTTTACACTTCAAACCTTTCTTTCCTCGGTTGCTATGTGTTTTTTAACAGAACTTTTATTACTACCCAGACTCAGAGAGAACAGAATGTACATTGACAAACAAAGCAGAACAAGAAAACAACGTCGTGGTGTCTTTTTTTGGCTCTGTGCTACAATCCTACATTCGTATATATGAATTCACCCAGATGTCCATTAAGACCATTTTACAGATAGGCAGCAACAAGGAATCTGTGCTAAAGGCTGTTATCCTCATGTCACCATAGGATTAGCTGTAGTCATAGTTAACAGGATAATTGGTAAGAATAGGAAGAGAAGATGTGAGATGAAATAGAGTTTTTGGTGTTGAGTTGCTTTTTCTCCATTACAAGGCACCCGAAGAGATCGTGTTGCTTAAAAAAGCTGCAGGCTTTTTTTAAATGAACCTTTAAACTGTGTTGCATATTCCAGATCTAATGATAGAAATGGAGGATCAGACAAATGATATCAATGAAGCTGGAATTCCAGTACTGGACTACAAAACCTACACGGACAGAGTCTTTTTCTTGCCCTCCAAAGACGGAGAGAAAGATGTGATGATTACAGGGAAGCTGGATATTCCTGAGGCCAGGCGGCAGACTGTGGAGCAGGCTTTGAACCAGTTCTCCAACCTCCTCAATAGCAAATCATTTCTCATTAATGTGAGTACGGAAGTAGATTCGTCTTGTCTCTTAGTTAGGCATGTCTGTGTGTGCTAGACAGTAGGTTTGCTAGCACAACTGAACCAAAATGCTTGAAAATAAATGATTTTCTTACAGTTCTGGTTCCACAGTAACTGCTGCAGATATGCAGCCAGAGCTTCCTGGTGGGGTGGAGAGGCAAGATCATATTTCTGGTCACGTAGCATGGAGTTAGTCAACATTGCAGTGGCTGTAAGAAAACAAATATTACCCAATCTGGCATAAAAACTGCAGTCATAAGTTTGTTTTAGCCTTTTAAGAAAAGTGATCGGAGAACATCCTGGTTCATCACAGGAGTCACCTGTGGGCAGCCGTCTGCTGGATCTCTATCCCAGAGAGGCAGAGGCTCCTCAAGTGGCCTATTCATCAAGACTGATGAGTGCTCGAAGCAGCTCTGAAGAGACTTCTAATTGCTCGCTCTCAAAAACTGAGGCTGATTGTCAGACACCTAAATATAGATTTAGGCTTCTAGCTTTTTCTCCTTTTTTAAATGAGGCTCCAGTGCTGAGCTAGTTAATGGTAGTGTTACAGTTTATGGCAGATGAGAGCATGTTCCCAGGTGTACTTAGGTTAGTGTCTTTGTAATTTGATGTGAAAGGACTGGGAATTTAGGAGGGAAAGGAGCTGATTTTCTCTTTTAAAAAATTGTCACAGGAAACCTTTTTTCATTTAATTAAAGCATCCTTTTTAGATAAGGCTTCAGTTAAAGTATATAAACATTCCTTGGGTTAGTCCAGTACCCTGTGTGTGTATCTAAAAAGAAATCATAGGCAACATTTTCTTATAAGTAGTTTTTTTGAACTTCTGAAAACTTCTCCGTTCTGTGCTTAGGAGATTAATTTTAAAATAGTATCACTTGTCTTCTTAGTACAGGCAAGTGTTGAAGTTCTTCAGAAACTTGTCATCTGACTTGATTTTACATTTGTTTTCTGTTTCAGTTTATTCACACGCTGGAAAACCAAAGGGAGTTCTCTGCTCGAGCTAAAGTGTATTTTGCATCTTTACTGACAGTTGCTTTACATGGAAAACTAGAATACTATACTGACATCATGAGGACGCTGTTCTTAGAACTGATGGAGCAGTATGTTGTGGCCAAAAACCCAAAGCTGATGTTAAGGAGGTTTGAATGATTGTCATATTTTCTGAAGTTCTGTGGGTTTCTATCAATGTATTTCTTTTGCAGTGTGACTGTATTAAAATGCCAGCTCTCCGTGAAAGTCAGAAATAGCCTGGCCCGAGCATATTAGGAAGACAAGCTCACCAGGAATAGCTGTGGCAGGCATAGGGAGGACTGTTGGCTACAGCATTTCCTTATTCAAATACTGTAGTGTAGAATCTGCATCGAGATTTCGGAAAACATCTACCTTCAAAACACAGTCCCCAACATTTCATTTACTTTTTAATCTAATTTTATTCCAAACGATCTAGCATTTATACCACACATCATCTCTGTAATGAGCACACATAATCAGCTTGCATTGTGCATTCAGTGAGGGCTTGCTCTAGTGTTTTTAACTCTGTTGTTGTTCCAAATAAATTACAAAAGACTTTGCTCTGTGTATGTTGTAGCTTTGTAATCTCCCAGTAAGTGCACAACTGAGTTAATTTTTTAGCTCTTACAGCATAGGCCCAATTTAAGATTTTGCATAAAGCATTTGTGCTTTTCAGTAATGAACTGAAGGTACCCGGGAATGATGAGCAATACAAAGCACTTATCCTAAAGCAAGTACATGCTCTCAAGACTCTATAGGGAAATCATTGCATTAGGAGAGTGCATGCAGTTAAGCATGTAAAAATATTATATTTCAAGCAGCAATGTTTTTCTTTAAAACTTTGTCATTAAGTACCCTTACCATACTCGGGGTTGGTTTTTTTTTTTTTCAGATCTGAAACGGTTGTTGAGAGAATGTTGTCTAACTGGATGTCTATTTGTTTATATCAGTACCTCAAGGTAAGAGTTAAAGTCTGCTGCCTGTGGGGATTTTTTATCAATTATACTTAAACCTGCTGCATTGAGTATATCTTTTGGTTTTGCTTTATTTCTTTTCTTTTCCTTTAAACAGGACAATGCTGGAGAGCCTCTTTATAAATTGTTCAAGGCCATCAAACACCAGGTAGAAAAAGGCCCAGTGGATGCTGTGCTAAAGAAAGCCAAGTATACTTTGAATGACACAGGCTTACTGGGAGATGATGTAGAGTATACGCAGTTGGTAAGCAGATCATGATTAATATATTATAAAATCATTTTTTCTTTTAAAATTAAGTCCTGAAGTCTTAAGTCTGTACATACTTTACTGGACTCCTGTGATCTACATAGAAATTCTGATCATGGACAGGAACTGTTGATAGTTTGACCCAAGCAAGTCTCCAAGCAGGAAAATAGAATTATAAAGTATGTTCTAAGCATTAAATCCAAGTCCTGCCACTGTAGAATCCATTTCAGTAAATCTTTTTCATAATTTTCAAAGTCTGTTTGTATAGTGGTTGGGGTGTTTGGCTCCTTCCTTTTTCGCATCTAAATTAACTGGCAATTGATTTTTGCAGAATTCTTGCACTAATGTTATTCTTGAACTTTGAGTTGTCTTTCTCCCTTGTGATTGCTGCTCGTCAACATATCAGTCATTTTAGAGATCATTTTATTAGTACACCAGGATGAGCTCCTCTACAGTCCTGTGAGATGGCTCTGCAATCTCTAAAACACTGAATGAACCTATTTCTGCACTTGTTCCTGTACAAGTCAAACTCTCCTGAACATGGGCAGCCCAACTAGCATTGAAAGGGGGTTTCCACCTGAGGAAATAATTCCCTTCAGTGATGAGGGGAAGCTGCCTCTACAGGCAATTCTGGAGACCTGTGTTAGATGCTTCAAGTGGGATGAAGCGAACATTCCTGACCCAGGTATTCCCCATCTGAGCTCCACCCTGCGCCCGAATATGATCGCCAGTGCCATGGTCCAGTTCTCTTCTATTACAAATTCTGCTTGGACTTAATTCAGTTCACTGCCACAAATTTGTACCACTTTTTCAACCAGACTCCAGCACACGGATTCAATGTATTTTTAAAAAAACGAAGCAGCCCACTCTTTAGCTGTTCAAGGAGCGTAAATTCTAGTTTTACTCTTTCTGACAGTCTTCCTGGTTTTCTTCAGGATACAATGTAATGAATATCAAAGATGCACAAACTGTCCTTCAAAGACCAACACTGGATTTTTTTTTCCCCGCTCTGATTTCTCTTTTATTGACATGTTAGGAGCCATTTGTGGTTGTCTCCAACTGAGAAAGATGCAGTGACATATCTGCAGGGTGAAAAGAGAAACTTAACAAAAAGCTTTATTAAGTCCTGTTTAAAAAAAAATTACCATTTTGTGTATTCTGAAGGGATGCTGATGGGCTGATGTGAGGTGATTGCTGTAGGACTTTCACTCACAAAATCACTAGACTGTGACCTAGACTGCCTGGAGGAAAAGAGTGTGCTGGGCAAGAAGAAATATTTTAAGTTCAATTGATGGTTTGGGGATTAGTTGAGTTGTCATCTTCATATCTGAGCTGAAAGTGCCACCCATAGAAACCACAGTGACTGGCAATGCTGGTTATATTTTCTCTTGTGTATGGAGAACAAAATTTACTTGCACTATACATAATATCAGACTTAATGGCAGTAATTCTTTATTCAGTCTGTTTCTTTTCACAAAAAAAGCCAATGCCTGCAATTAAGCTAAATGAATGCAGTGTGAAAGCAGAAAATTTGTGTATGCAATCAGATGTGGGCACAACAAGCATACGAGCTAGATATTAAACATTATTATATTGTACAGTAGCAGTATTTGGTCCAGATTTACAGATTTCCCGTCAAACAAAGATTTTATGTGTGTGCGTGCATGGAAGACCATGAGATATATGTGTGTATATGTGTATGAAAAAATATTATGAAGGGGATTACTGTTGCTGTGAATCACTGGGATCTTTGGCATGATGATGACATTGTTGTGGTGACTGTGAACAGTTGGGGAGCATTTGTACACCAAGGTAGGTTAAAGCATGAGTTAATTACTTCACTTCTGCCTGAAAGTGAGACATGGTGGGAAAGTACGGTATAGAGCAGTTGTCTGCTCTCTAATTGTTCTTATTTAAAAGATGAATCTGTTTTGCATCAGTGGTTACACTGACACGCTGCATACTGAACCAGCAGCAAAATCATGTCTAATTACCATAAAGCTAATAGGAAAAGGAAGGTGAAATCTCGTGATTAGTTTGAGAGTTCTGTCAAGGGGCAGTGCAATCATGTTTAATTTGACTGCCGTATGGCGTAGCTTTTCTTCACTGCTTAAGAAAAACAGGCATGCAAGTTTATTTCTGAGGTTTGAGATGATAAATGCAGGCATTATGGTTGCCAGGACCATGTGTATCTGAGAGCTGCAATGCTTCGGGTGTGCCCGGCCTCCAAAGCTACCTGACTGGCAAAAGATCCACGAGGGCTCTGGGCTGTTGTGCTCATTCAACTAGTGAAAGAAAGAGGCTTTTCATAGCATCGATTTGGTTTTGGTGGGTTTTTTCCTTCTGGGGAGGTTTCCTGGCCATCGTTTTCTCATTTGCTTTTGTCTGTATTAAAACTGACATATAGTGAAGCTACTTTAAAAAAATCTCTCCAGATTTAGCAAATTACAGGCTTTCAGGAAATTCTCTTTAACATTTAAAAAAAAACGAAAACAGTAATATTTTAGAACTAGCATTAACTACTTAGATATATTTCCTGGAGCTATTAGACTTATTGTGACAACAGTAAGCAGTAAATGAAGTGTTCAGACACCAAAGATGATATAAATGGCTTTTATATGTATATGTGTGCGTGCACGTATGTGTGTATTTATGTGTATCTAATGAACAGCTGGTCACAGGAGGTGAAGTTACGGGAGCTGAACAAGTCACTGCTCATCAGTTGAGCCACGTTAAATCACCATATGTACAGACCCGGTCCGCTCAATTTGAGAAGTAAAGCCACGACCATGAAGACAGCGTAAAGGAAGGCAAAAGCACACAGTATTCTAAGAGTTCAGCAAAGTGCAGCTCAAATGATCATTAGGAGCTCGTTAAGTTTGCGCACTGCATTGTGCTTTTCTGTGTTCGAGGTTATCAGGCTATATCAGAAGCATGTAACTAGTCAGTGGTCCAGCTGCTTTGATCTTGTGTGTCCCTCTCTAATAAATTCCCAGGACTCAATAGTAGCATATGAGACATGAGTGAATCTGTTCTGCATCTTTTCTGTTTTGTCATAGTGGGAGGAATTAGCTGGAATTTATGGTAGCTGGTTGACTGCATAACAGCGAAGGATCTCTCAAATAATCCATAGTCCCATTGCAAATATGTGCCGCTGTGCCAATAATCACTGCGCAGTGAATTTTAGATATTGTTTGCATTTAAATCATCCAGAAAAACAGATTCAGAGGCAATTCAGCACTGATTTCTCTTAATAACAATGTACTTTTTTTTTTTTACAGACAGTAAATGTATATGTACAAGATGGAGGAACCGATTCCACACCTGTGAAAGTGCTGAACTGTGATACTATATCACAAGTAAAGGAAAAGATAATAGACCAAGTCTATCGAAATCTGCCATGTTCTCAGTGGCCAAAAGCTGAGAGTGTAGTTCTTGGTAGGTAGCTACTTGTGATACTATATTGAGCAGGTGAAACATGTTGTGTGATTTTGTATTTTCCCCAAAAATGTCTATAAAAGCAATTTTTTGTGTTTTTTTTTTTTAAATAATTTGAATTCATGTTCAGCCGGATGCAAAAATACAGCATTTTGGAGCAATCTTAATATGCATTAAGAATTAATGCTTTCTTACAGAGTTCTTTTTCCTGACTCTTAAAGTTTTGGTGTACTGTCATTAGTGTGCAAAGAGCCTGTTAATGACTGTTAGCACAAATGTATTCATGTCTGACAGAGTCAGTATCTCAGGTACTAATTAATGTGATAATGACAGCATGGACAATTAACTGATGGAGAAGTAATGATGCAATTTCAGAAACTGGTACTGATTTTGACTTGCCTTTATGATGGTTATTCAAAAGAATTATAACTTACAGGAGCTGCACTTTTAGGAGATGATGAGCCACCCAGCCTTTGAAAATCATCCTTCTTGAAGGCTTTCAAAATTGCTTTTCTCTTCTTGAGGAAAAAAAAAAAAAAAAGAAAAAGATGTAACTTAAAAGGCCTAATAATCTCATAATAAAGCTCCAATTAATAGTTTTGCGATATCTTCATTACTGCCTTAATCTGAAAGCAGAGGATGCAATTCTTGCTCTTCAGAAAATGCTATTAAATTCCCTAAAAATGCCTTTTCAATTCCATGCAAAGTCCTACTCTATTTTGGATGGATAAGAGTTCTTATTATTTACATTTGTAGTATTCTATGCAAAGGCATTTAACGTTGTATGGAAAACAATCACAATTCATGTGCATGGTTAGGAATAGTTCATGCAAACTTCTGTAATAAAGACCAATCTATTAAGCAATAAAAAACACACATTGTGGCATGTGCCATATTACTTCTTTTAATGTTCCACAATGCGTCAGTGGTTCTCTAAACTGAAACATTCTTGGAGTTGTTATTTTTGCACATGGTTAAAAGCTGTTTTTTCTCATTTTAATTACCCCTTAGAGTGGCGTCCAGGTTCTACTGCACAGATCCTCTCAGACTTGGATTTAACATCCCAAAGAGATGGCAGATGGAAACGCATCAACACACTAATGCATTATAATGTAAGGAGGTGTTTCAGAGCAGTTGTTCGCATCTGTTAACTGTTCTCTAGTTATAAATAAAATCTTTATTTGTTTTTAAAGAAACTTTTGTGCTACATAAAGAATCAAAAAAACCTCTAGCTCTAGGTCTAGGCAGTAAAAGCTTGAGAGCATCAAAGGCTAGGTCTAGACGCATTGCCTAAACATCTTGCTGAAAACATATCACCTAAATGCCAGCGCTTTGACTTCCTCATCTTTGCAGTGTCCAAATCCAAGTTCTCCTTTGAACATTGAAAAGCTCCTTCTGCTAGGTCTCGTATTTCTCTCCTCTTTTTTGTACCATTTCCTACCCCTGAGAATTGCCTTCGTCCTTGCTCTGCTGCTAAATAGATTTTGGGTTGGTCTGGTTTGTTCAACAGCCCAATCAGGAGAGCAGATGTTGATGGTTTTGTACAGCCTGTTTTGTCAGTCATACTGTGCGCTCTACCAAGCTCTTGCAATCCACTGATCTTCCCTTTTCTATGCTATTTGTTGCTTTCTAACGACAGATATCCTGATTAGGAAAGATAGAAGTTAGTTAGTTTTCTCTCAGAAAACAGACAGGTCTGATTCTTCATGATAAACCCCATTTTTGTACAAAGGATACCCACACCAGATTGAGGAACCACTGAAGTCTTGGAGATGCTTCTAGCGTTTTAAGTAATCTCAGAGGAGATGTTGATGGGATCTCGTAATTAAGGAGGGGAAAGGAGTCTGTTCTGAATCGCAGAACCAATTACTCAAGAAGCCTTTGAAAGGCAACGTTAATCATAGGTCCAGATTCCCTGCCAAAGATTACAGAAACTGCAGTTTAGGTGTTAAGAAAGAGGTTCAGTAGTGCATACTTCTTTCAAATAACATCCTTGTGTTTGTGTGTTCAAAGGTCCGAGATGGTGCCACGCTCATCTTATCAAAAATGGGCATTTCCCAGCAGCCAGAGGATAATCAGCAAGATGTCCCAGGGGAAAGTAAGTATCTTGTGGCTTCATTACCTCCCGAAATGACTAGAAGTCAAAATCCACGCAGAGAGAGTGACACTGCTGTCTTGATCTTGTTTATCAAGAATGACTATGGAGCTAGATATTCCCCACCAGACTATATAGGGCTTATTTATTGTGTGCACATTTGCAATGGTTTTCTTTGTTCTCCTTATTAAAACCTTAAATAGTGGGCCTTTAACCATAAGTGCTGTGAGTCTATGCCCCAGCTTAGTAGAAAGCACTCTGAGCAAACATTTCCTTGCATATTTTATTTCTTAATCCCACTACCTCTGTAGTCAAACTGTATGATTCATCTTTCCAAAGCTTTATCTTTTCTTCTCCTTCCTTCTTCCTTTTCTTACTTTCCTCTCCCAATTTCTTCCACTTCTTATTAGACTGAGAGTTGAATGCAGTGTTCTAGGTGAACCGTGGTAGAGACCAGCTCCTCTCTTTCTGATATGATGGATCTAAAGTAATTTTTTTAATTGCATTTCTTATAACTATGTTGCTTTGCAAACTCATCTCTGTACATTCATATTTTGTGTCTCCTTCCCTTTGAAAGATGTTTCACCAGCTATGCGAGCTTGTTTTTTCCAGGGTTTGTTGGTTGGCTTCGTTCATTCCATACACGATATCTCTTTAGATGCAGCATTTTCTACAAGTCCTTTGTTCTGTTTGAGGTTTGCAATCCACTGTAAGTTAGCATCAGGAATTTCCTTATAATGTTTCCTCTTTTTCACATCTCTAAAGCAGCCATTGCATAATTCTTATATTGCTGTCTGCTACTGTATGCTGGACTTTTCAACATGAAAGACAACCTGTTAGCTTGCAAACCATCTTTTAAAGCTTTTACTTCTACTTGTTAGTATTCTGTCTAGACCAATTTCCTTTATCTCAAAACCTCATGAGACTCTATATCCATTACAGCCTAAAATGCACTCAGATTTTTATGGAAATATTTGCTTGTAAATTTATGTTCTTTGTCACATATGTTTCCTTTACATTTCAGATGTTCAGTTTCTCTTTTTTTTTATCCTTATATTCAATTATTTTACACAAGGTAGAAGGTAGATTTATGGAACGATAATTGTTGAGATCATTTTTCCTTCTATGAACTCATTTGATATGCTTTTCTGTCTAGCACTGATTGCAAAAGCCATTGCTTCACCTAATAGTTTCATTCTTTTAAACAGATTTACTGATCTTGGATTTAGTAGATTTTAAGGGCTGGGCAGTCAAACAGATTGGAAATAATATGCCAGAAATGTACATTTTTCAGGAAGATGAGTCCCAGCTGATAGCTCTGACATATGTTGCTATTTAACAAAAATGTGCAGGCTTCCATTTCATTTGTGTAGAGTGTTGGCCAGGAAATTAGGACAGGCAGAATTACTTGCCATTTGCGTTTTACTCCCTCCTTCTGGATGCTTTCTGTTGAGACTTTTTGCAGCACCCTGGAAGGGTCTCCTAATGACTGTGGCTACATCTCTGCCGCTGTCCTCTCCCCCCTTTACTGTAAGTCCCTGCCATAGTTGGCCAAGTGGTGACTACTCTGTCACAGCAGATGCCAACCCAACATGTTAACTTAAAAAGCCGTTCAGTTTAATACAGAGGGCAGTGAAGTGCAGCCAGGCAAGTCCCTGTTGGGTTTGGTTGCACCAATTGCTGAGATAGCTGCTGAGGCAGTAGTCGCCTCCACTCTAAAGAAGTGGAGCGGACCATGAGCAGAGCCTGATCGTGTCCTTAGCTTGCTTTGCTTTCTTCAATCAGAGCAATGTTCAGTCTCCTGTTCTGGGCTTCCTGTCTTCATTCTCCCCACCTCACTACCCTTTTGGCAGGCGGTAGAGGACCAAACCATGTGGTTTTCTTTTTTGTGTGTGTTTCTTTTTTTCTTTCCACCTCTGTAATTGTATCTTTAGCTATAATTCAGTATGATAAAACTCTTTGAACATGCATGATCTGTACTCCAAAATGAACTCCTTAGTTACACATGTGGCATACTAAATTGTAAAGGAAAAGCAGACTTTTGGGGATAGTGCTGTCACATGAGGGCTCTCATACACGAGAGAAAAATCTGCAGAGAGAATTCAGATTCCAAAGTATGGAGCGAAGACAACTTCCACCATCCTTCTCCACAGCCCGTCTTGCACCATGGTAGTGTACAAATTTGGGAAGACAGCATTTCATGCCAGGCTAGCCCATTTTCTTTAGCGCCAAAGGGTCCTCAAAGCTGTCTGGTGCCAGCTTGTTCCTTTGGAAAGCTATAAAATGCTACAAAGCTAGCACAACACGAGAGCCTGCAGTGACAGTGATTTGTGAGACGCTATGTGTATAAAAGGGAGAGGATCAGAGGCTTCCCCTCCCACACATACGCATTTATATGACACTGGGATTTACAGGGATGGAATAAATAGAAATCCTATCCCAGCTCTATGAATGAGGCTTGTGACGAAGTGGTTTTCCTTTTATCCAGAGTCTCTCGGTAACTTGCACCTTTTCCATTGAGAAGTGTCAGCTGAAGCCATTGACTGTCTGCCAAAGTGCTAGGCTTTGCACTGAACGAAAATGTAAAACCACGTTCAGAGATGTTGCTCTAAAACCTGGCATTGCTTCCATGCTGCTTTTGATTCACAGCTTCTAACAGGAAGACGCTAGAAGCTGGAGATTGTGACAAATTAAATGCAGCATCTTTTGCTTCTGGAGATAATGAACACGATTACTAATTTGTATCAGGCTGGAGAATGGTTTCAGTGATTTCATGCTAGTATTTCTGTACTGAACTATAAGCCAAAACAACACGCTCTTTTATTGTGGGGTTTTCTCTGGGTTTGTGGTGTGTTTTTTTCTTTTTTTAATTCTGAATAAAAATAGCCAGAGAGTTGCAGATCAGAAACACTGATCAGCAGATCCGCGTAGGGCAGCCCTTCCTTCACCTGCATGGAGCAGTGTATTCACAGGGCTGGAGGAGACTGGAAGGAAGCTAATTTGCTGCAGGCCACGTAAGAGGAAAGGGGCTGCGTTGCCTGTCACCATCTCACTCGCCTCTATCATGTTCACATCATGATTCATACCACTATAATTAGTCAGCGCGGTCAATATTTGGGATTAACCCTCCCCAGCGTTGTTTTGCATTGGCCAAAGAATGCCCAAGGGCCAAGACAAAGAGTTTGGGGGATGCATTTTGACCTGGTGGGCACAGTCTTCTCCCCGCTTACGGCTTGACACATAATGTGGCTACTGGAATAAAAAAGGAGGTGTTTTCCCCTATCTTTTATTTTCTTTGCCTCCTACTTTTCCATTGGGGAAAATATTATCTCACAGAAATGTTATTTTCTCTTAGCAACCATACTGCTAACATGTTTTGTTGCCCCATGTTCTGAATTTCTCTTCCTCTTTCTTCCTGCTATTTTTAGCAATGAAGTGGGATCTTTGTGTTGCAAAAGCTCATCTGGTTGAGCTGTAGTCTCTTAATCCCTACTTTCCCATGAAATAACTGCTACTTCACTAGTAGCCAATTATGTTGTTGCTAAACAAACATGGGCCAAGTTCAGCTGCACATAAGGGCCAGTAATCTCAGTGGAAAACCCTTTGGTTGTTTCTTTTCTCTCCAAAGGTAAACTGGGTGATATACCATCAGGAGGGCAAAGAGAGGATAAATTCCTTTGAATAAAAGGAGGAAGCAGAAGTCTACCAAGCGACTGGCTTAAGGCTGGAAAGTAGTTAGCTTCTGCTCTGTGTGATTTGATCTATTAATTTACAAAAGTAAATAACATGCATTGCAAAAGAAATTCCAGACTTCAGGCCCAGCAGCAGTTCTTACTGTACTGGCAGATGAGTGCTCTGAATGGTATCGATTGTGAAATCACAGCTGCTTCAAAATAAAGTTATAGCTTTTATTTCTTTCTTGCTTCATTCACATGAACTTCCAAGTCAAATTACGGACTCTCAAAGGACAATGTGATTTAATGTGGGATTTATTTTTTTTTCCCCTATCTGGTTAAAAGAAGTAAAGCCCTCAGAAGATGACATGATCTTCAAGGTCTCTTCCAACCTAAACAATTCTGTGATTCTATAGCTAATGCTTTTCATGAGGATATATAAGTTAGGTTCAAGCAGAAGTGTTGGTTTGGCCAGATCACATATAAATGTTATCTTCCGCTGTGATGTAAAATATTGAACATACATGCAAGCTGGTAAATTTAATGTAGCTGTTGAGGAACTGAGTTAATAAACTACTATGACCAAAAATTCAAAAGGACAAAATTCATGCAGTTAGAAGCTGATATTTTCTGCTGTAACTGGGATTCAGTTACGTTAGATACATATATTAAAGCATAAAACTTAGCAGTAATGCAAAATAATTTGTGCAATAGGGCTGAATCAAAATTTTTATGGGAAGAATAACTTTTACATTTTAAAGATGGCAATGATTTTAAATGCTCTGATTCAGTAACTTCCACTGGAAAAGCGCCATTGGTTTTAGAGACTATGCCAAGTAGATATAAAAATTCAGAAATTAAAGGAAGAACAAGCAAAACCAGGAGGTTTGAAACTGAGTTTATGACACAGAATCTTTTTTCAAGCGATATTAATTGCATGTTAAAAACAATTGTATCATGTCTTTTAGAACTGTTCATACCAAAATATTCTTAAGCATTGAGTTTGTCTGAACATTCATGTTGGTGCTGAAATGCAATACTCCCGCTATACCACTGGGTGATCATTGAACTAAGCTTATGGACCAGATGCATGATCAACCTATGGATATAGCATAGCAAGACACTATAATCAGATGAGCTGTCATAAGCATCCAGGAGCTTACTCCTGTTTCTGCTATGTGGTAACAGACTTGGTGTGAGTCTCTTTCTCTATGAATACTGGCAAAAAAAAATAAAAATCTTAATGTAATGGATTATGAGTTTGCTGCAGTCATTCCCTCATCTGCTGGAGTTCACGTCCTCTCAGCAACAGGATGCATTTTTCTGCCTTTCAGCTACAAAGTCAAGTGATGCTGGTCAAATGTCGATAAAGGCAGATCTGAACTGAGGTACCATACTTTGAATTCAGCAGTTAAGGTAAAAATGTAAACTGTAATGATGATACCTAGAAAAAAGGTTGATATCATAAATTCTTAAATCGTCACTGCCAAATTCACCAGAGCTGGTGCAACAGTATCTTGCCTTGTACCTGGAGCAGGCTACAATTGCCCTTTCTGTGGTGGCTGTTGGGTCAGACCTAGCTGAATTTCTGTAACTTGATCATGTCTCTGAGAATTCACAAAGGGGTAGAGTATTTCACTGTGCGGACCTCAAAAAAAAATACGCATACTGTGCTTATGTGACCAAACAGGAGTTTCCTTATTGTGTGATTCCTTCCTCTGCCTTTGCTCTTGGCAAAAACAAGCTACAATCCTACCTCAGTGCTGCTTTTTCATCTTATGTATTATTGAACGTTTAGTACTTGAGTTTTATATGTTGGACAGGAACAAAGTAATCTAGACCCTCTTGGCAAGAGAAAAGGTAAGTTAAGGGTAGAGAACAAGGACCTTACCTGCATTTAGATATATGATTATTTTTGTGTTGCTGATTTGGATGTGGGGTGTTTTTTGTAATTATTGCAATTACTATTTCTAGGACATGCACTCCTGGAAGATGAAAATAAGGTCTGGCATTTAGTCCGGCCAGTAGATGAAATAGATGAAGGTAAATCGAAGCGGGGCAGTGTGAAAGAAAAAGAGAGGACCAAAGCTATTACAGAAATCTACCTGACCAGACTTCTCTCTGTGAAGGTAGGGCTCAGCTGTGCCACGGTCACACCTTACATCTATAGGTTTTGAGGTACAACTGAAGAAAATGATGCAACTATTAGTCATGCGTTTGGCTGCAATTTTGAGTATGTGCCATGTACATACAAGCTGGTGTTCAGGGCTTCACGTGATTAATATGCCCTGAGGAACATTACTGGGAAAGAGATAAAGTATAACTCCCGATCAAAGCTGAGAACCATGGTTATGTGTTTGTTAAACAAGGATTTTTCTTGCAAGACAAAGATGGTTATTGTCCTCTGTGCCACCTGTTTAGATAATATTTTGTTATACAGCCTTATAAACTGCTACAGAGCCTTATATTGCCCTGGTTTTGTTTGTGACCTGGGCTGCAGCATAATCTAGAAAAATAATAAAAATGTTTTCAAATAATAATAGTCATTTTAGAGTATTTTTAGTGCTTTTACTGCAGAATGGATCACAATCAAAATAATTTTGTTAAGCATTCCTCCTTGCAGAAAGAATTCGGGATAATGTGTTTAATGACCCTAAAGCCAGGCTCCTTGTGAAAACAAGGGTGGTCTGTCTCCAGCTACGGCCATTTGTCCAAGTGTGAAAACGAATGTGAAGGAAAGTCTGTGTATAGATGACATAGACCAAGGACAAAGAGCCAGCAAGATGCAGCCACCTCTTTTCTATTCCAAATAGCCAGTTTATAGATTATTACCAGCCTGGAGCTTTACCAACTTGTGCAGAGCTGATGATGTGTGATGGCTGAGACCGTAACTGCCCCTACAACCTGTGGACTGTCGATGTGTCCTTGCTGACAGCAGAGTGGCTTAGGGCTCCTTGCCTTCTCGGTCCCTGCCTTGTTTTGGGTCTGACAGCAAGAGAGAGGATGCAGCCCTTCAAACATGTCCGTAGGCCCAACCAGCTGAGCGGGGACAAACTGCATGTGACCCCAACAAGGTCTTCTCTAAAACAAGGGGATGCTCTCTGAGGACACAGTCTCTAAGGTCCAGGCAGATGCAGAAATCCAACCAAGCAGGCAGCCCTCCTGGGACACGTCACTCCTTGGGCTCAGTGGAGCTCATGGAGCTGGGCCAGACTGGGTCTCTGATGAGACCTAAGTGCTTGCCCTTAAACAAAAAGTCAAAGGCTCGCTGGTACTTTACCCTCATAATCTCTTTCTAAAAATTGCATGATGCTCTGGAGTCAGAGAAACTGGAGGTGGGAAGCTGCTAAACCATTAAAAAGTGGCTAACAAATATTTTATGTGCACAGCGACCCTGAAGTGTAAATGTATTTTATACCTAGCAACCAGTTTCTGCTGCTTCTGTCAAGCAGAAAGCAAACCTTGCTGTGCAAACCGTTGAATGGTTAGTGAAGTCACAACCTTTCAGGCTAGAACATAAAATTGTTCTCTGGAAGGTCTTTACTGTGTTGGCAGTTTGCAAGGTCACTGCGCTAAGAAGTTGCTTGGGTTTTGTCACCCAGTACACTTAGTGTGCAGGATGAAGGCCGTCAGTGACTGCAACTGGATTATGGGCTGTTAGTGTCACTAGGAATAAACGACTCTAGGATGGCACCGAGTTCAGCCTGGAAGACAAATGTAATAGATTTCTTTAAATTTGCTTTTAGGGGACACTTCAGCAGTTTGTAGATAACTTCTTTCATAGCGTGCTCAACTCGAACCACGTGGTGCCACCAGCAGTGAAATACTTCTTTGACTTTCTTGATGAGCAAGCAGAAAAACATGACATCAAGGATGAAGATACCATTCACATCTGGAAAACAAACAGGTACGGTATAAACAGAGTAGTACTTGTATTGCAGAGAAATGAGAGTGTAATTCCCAGGTAGGTACTGGCACTCTTACCACAAATCAAAGTAAATTTTGTTTATAATTCTCAGAATTGTTTTAATTGAGATAATATGTTTATATGATTGAAAGGATTCCTTGTAAGCCTAGAAGCTGCAAAAATGGAACCAGCCTACCTATGGGGTTGTCATTGGCAGATTTACCACTTTACTTTTTCCTCGGAGAAGAGGAAAGTAGGCAAATGGGACTAGATTTATCTGTCAAAGCACAAAATCTAATAGAATACTGCTCAGGTAGTTTCTGTAACCATGCAGACATCTTCTCTTGCTATTTTAGGGCACTCAAGATTCTTCTCATATGAGTTTTTCTGTGAGAGATGTACAGGCTTGGTTTTCAGACGTGGAAACCAGACAAAAGATAGCTTGTATAAATGTTGAAATGTAAAATTCAGCTTCACTGTTGTGAGGAGGTCAAAATGCAAAACTCGTACTTAATTTTAGCTGATTTGCTTGTTGTAGAACATTTGTTGTGTAAAAAGGATTATTTGTCTTTTTCCTTGCTTTGCAGCCTGCCTCTTAGATTCTGGGTAAACATTCTGAAAAATCCCCATTTCATCTTCGATGTTCATGTTCACGAAGTAGTGGATGCTTCCTTGTCAGTCATTGCACAGACTTTCATGGATGCTTGCACAAGAACAGAGCACAAATTAAGCAGAGTAAGTGATTTGCATTCTACATCCTGACTATGCTCATGCCTGACAAGACAAAGGGCATCCTCATTGACAATACCCATTCTCTGAGGAGATACAGCCTTGATAGTTTCTTTTCAGTTTTATAATGAAGTTAGCATTTCATCACTTAACAGGTTGGTGAACACGTCAGTGCTACTGTGTAGTCTGCCAGTCGATATTTGTAAATAGCAGAAAATAGCAACTGCTTTTATAAAAAGCAAGTTTAAGAACTGATTATTTCATGTCCACCGATAATTTTGTATCATCTCGCATTGATATATTTGTAAAACTCAACGGTAATGCCGCGTGTAAAATTCATCCTTTTAGGACAAGTAATCCCATCAATGTTAATTAGCATTCAAATGTTAATATCTGTAAAGCTCAAGTGCCTGTGAATATAAAGGCTTGATCTTAAGTTCTTGAGTTTCTTTTGCTTCCTAGAGATGTTCATAAATCAACCAAGTTTCTCGCTATTATAATTTTTTTTCAGGATTCTCCGAGTAATAAATTACTTTACGCAAAAGAAATCTCTAACTATAAGAAAATGGTGGAAGAGTAAGTATAGACTCTTTTCTTGCTTGTTCGGAGTTGTTAGGGCTTTAAGCCTGTGTAAGAGGAAAAGCGAATGCTGAGGTAGTCCAAGTCAACTGTCAAATGTTAAGAATTTTACACCTGAATGTTAAAATGTTCCCATGGTGGTGGCATTGCCAGGGTCGAAATGGAGTGCTGCTATGACCCCGTGCATGTTCGTGACTGTGCAGACAGATGGATACATTTATTCAGGGGAAAATACGATGCTGTTTTCTGCAGTGGTTGCCGTTACCCATACGATCTGTCTAACCAGCGCTGCGCTTCTATAACTCAGTAGAGATCAAATCCTGGAAACGTTTTCACAAACATGTTTTTTCTATTCCATCTCTGACTTTATTCATTTACTAATTGGCAATTCTGTGAATACCATGGAAGATCTGCCACAGGACAAAACTCTTGCTAGCTAATAACTTCAAAAGTTTGAAGACGTAAAATAATCATCGACTGCAATTATAAATAGATTTCTTTCCTGTGGCATGGCCCTGTATAATCAGGTATGATTTGCCTCTGTTGTGAAGGTACTAATGACTGTTGGAAGGCGGGATTACTAAAGGAATCATTGGTCTATTGTGGTAGAGCATCTCCTGCATTATTAGGAAGCATGTTCAAAATAATTGCAAAATTGAAAGACAGAATTGCCAGAAAACCACAGCGTATTTCACCTAATTGAGTCTGTTTTCATCTGTTGCAGTTACTACAAAGGTATTCGTCAGATGGTGCCAGTTAGTGACCAAGACATGAATACCCATCTAGCAGAGATTTCGAGGGTAGGAATAAATTCTGTTTTCTTGTCCTGAATTTGGAGCCAAATATAGCGCTATTTTTCTTTGTCTTCTCTTTCTAACTCAACAAGTGGGTTTTTTGTATGTGTAACATCAAATGAGTTATTTTGTGCATCTCTGAAATAATCCTGTTTAGTGTAGTTATGCCTTTTAGCCCTTTGAAATGTTGACTATTGAATGGAAGCAAGAATGGTTATCATCACTCATCTGAGTGATATAGGTGCCAGAGCACAGCGTTCAGATTATTTCACATCCATTGTGGAAAAGTTATAGCATTCTCGAATTGTGTTTTCTCTCCACAGCATATAGAGGACTTTTAGCATTGATCGTACTGATAACAAGCAATGACTGAATTCGGAGTGCTACCACAGCAAAAATTAGATTCCAGAAATGAAACAGGAGGCACATACATTAAGTATAACCTATTTTAGAGCTGTCTGTACAAGGGCAGTACTTCTGCTTTATGCTGCATGTGGGAAGCTCTCCATGTGCTCGCTCAGTGGCACTTTTTGTTTTTGCATTATAGGTTATTGGGGCTCTCTCATGGAGAAGAGCAGAGCGGGGTGGTTGCTAGCTGGGAACTCGGGTTGGAGACTGGTGGAACAAACACACTACAAAACCTGGTTCAGTCTTCGAAGAGCCTGTCCGCTCTGCAGTTCTGCTTAGCTAGAACAGCTTGTGTCTTCAAAGCACTTGATTTAACTTTGAGGAGCCGGAGTGGCCCTCACCAGTCTTAAAAGACACTGTTTAGCCTGAGCAAAGAGACACTGTACTTACTGGCTAGCTCGCTCATTTGCTTAATGTAGTTCAAGAGCTCTAGCGTAAGGAGGATGTTTGGGGAATTTTTTGTGGTTTGTTTCTTTCAGTGCCCTTAGGACCTAACATTTTGTAGATCAACATTCTCATGAGAGCATTTCTATTTTCAGTCATTCACTACAAAACTCGTCTGCAGCGACATTTCGTTTTCCAGTTTGCTTTATTTATTACACAAATGGAGATGTATATAAAATTAAAACCTTCAATAGATTGTTTTAACATCGGCAGAATATGTTGATCCTTTCTATTTGCATTATAAATTATGATAAAAATAAACATGAAAGGAGTAAGCAAACATTGCAAATTTTGACCAGGTCTAGGAGTGACTTTCATAGAGCAAGGAAAGATTGATGTTTCTCTGCTGCTTTATGCCTTGGGTAATCATTCATGCCAGTAGCAATATTTTGCAGTTCTTCATTTTCTTAACTAACTTACAAGACTAAAGGCGTAGTTAGAGATTTGAATCCTATGTTTGAATGAAACACTGTTTAGACAGGTAGAGCACATTCACTAACAAGTTAAATGTCAGAGCGGGAGGGAGAAAGAGGTAATGGAAGGGTTATTTCCTGCTTAATTTAAAGTCTTTTTTCTCTCTGTCTCTCTCTCCCCACCCTTTCCATCTTCGTGATTCAGGCGGCTTTTTCCAAACATACATGTGCTTGTGATCTTGATGAGTTACACCTTTGCTGTAGAGAGGTGTGAATAATTTCAAAGAGTTAAAAAGAGCTGGAGAAAGGATTTCAAACAGCCATGACAGTGACAAAACCAATGTTTAATATCTCAACAATACGTAGATTGCACTGACTAAATGCTTTAGTTATACATACCCATGTTGTTAGCAGATGTTTGAGCTGTCGTCTGTGGTTTGACATTCAGAGTTCAAAATATTTTTCACCTCCAGTGCTAGAGTCATGAACAGGCTGGAAAAACACCAGCGGGAAAGTCTTGATCTAAAATGACCAAACAAAACTTTTCTCACCCCCTTTTTCTGCCCCAGCTGTCATTAACAAAAGTTACAGGATGCAGAGTTTGCATTTGGAAGTACTGTATATTGTATCCAGCAGTCCTGCACGTGCATAGCTTTCAGCTGTCTGTGATCATATTTTGACATGTTTGCTGCCCGCTTGTGTTAACAGGCACATACCGATTCCTTAAATACGCTTGTGGCTCTACACCAACTCTACCAGTATACCAACAAATACTATGATGAGGTAAGTTGCGACTTTTGTTTTCATTTTTTAATAATATCAACGGTAAAAAGTTATAAAGGCTAGAATCAATCTAAAGGAACAACTTCTGAAATTCCCTGGATAATCAGGTAAAAGCAATGCTGAGCAGAGAGCTGTAACTTTGCAATTACACATCTTGCTTGGCAATTACACTGGTCAAGGGCGTGTTCTTAAAAATGATTAATTTCATTGTGGGCTATCTGGTTTTGGTAGTGATAGTTTAATGAGATCTGCAAGAGAAATAGATTTTTAAATCGTTTCTCTTCAGTTCTACCACCCTAATTCCTAAGAATTAGGACATAAGAATGTCACCGAGCAAGAAGCATTCGTCAGAGCTATATCAGGTTTCAAGCCAGTGGCTTTTTTATTAGGAACAACCCATTAAACTTGTTTTGCTTGTAGGAATGGGATCGTGCCTTTTTTATTAGTTAAGATGCACTCATAACTTCCATGCATTATACTGTCCCCATTTTGCTGTGCCAAATGAAGTGCCTGCCCAAGGTAAACCAAAGTAGATTGGTAAACCAAGTAGAGTTGAATATAGTCTGATTCAAAAGGAAGCTCACAGATTCAGTCCAAAACATTTCTTAGATTCTTCAGGCCCTGTGGAAAGGGGGACAAAGAATATCCCAGTGTAGCTGGGCTGTGGCTATGGCTTTCTAAACTTAATCTGAAAACAAAAAGAGAGAAGGAAACTTTTATTCAAAGGTTTCCATGGAAATGAATGCCTTGAGAAGACTCTCAGAATTAAATCAAAGCAAGTAAGAACAGATGCTGAATCGAAAAGGAGCACAGCACATGCGAGCTTTCTTCGGTCTGTCTTGCACCTCAGCACAGTTCGTGTTTTCACTTATATTTAGCACTAAAGGCTGCGAGACTCATCCTCAGCTTCACTGCAGCTGCTTTATACAGGAGCAGCCAGCCTGTCGCAGCTTTAAAACAGATGTAAGCAGGGAAAAACAAATCACCCTGAGAGTTCTTGCCATGGGACTCAGTAGGGGAAGCGGCCAGAGGAACGCAGGCTAACCCGGTGCCATTGGTTTCCTCACCCCTGGTCCCCAGCACTAACTGAGCTGACCTTCACGCATTCCCATGGCCTGACCTGTCACTGAAACGCTCAGGGACCCAGGATGACAGATGAACCGTAAAGCCTCAATTCTTCCACACCCCTGTGTCCCTGCTTCCAGTCGTGGCTTCGCGTTTGGTGGCAGGTGCAGGTGGAGTCACCAGCCTGTGGGACTTACCAGTGGCAGGTCGACAAACCCTGGCGCGTCACTGCAGCTCTTCCTTTCGCGTATATCACTGTGTAACAACAAGGTGCATTTGATGAAAAGGCTGCTAATTCAGAGTTAGGGAGATAATCTGTCAAGAACCATTCAGTAAAATTAATTGAGCTTATTTATTTTCCATGAAAATGTTTTAATTTGCATAAATTGGAACATTTTGCAGCTGCCCTTGTCTTTATTACTGACGCAGTGGTTCCCAGCGTGCGCTGTACCTTCTGCGTCTCCACAGGGCTTGACAATGACTAAGTGGGTACATTCTAATTGTCCACATTGATATGAAGGATACATTCACCAGCAGAGATAATCATGAATTATTTAGTTTAGATTTGAGGAGTTACAGCTAGATGTAATTGTTTAAATTAAGGGAACAATATCAAATTAAATTTGGCCTGATTCAGATACTGTAATGAGTGTTTATTAACTCTGTCTTGTAAAAATGTTTTCACACTTTAAAAACGAATTCATTAAAATAATTATTTCTAAACAAATTTGCTCCAGTGTTTGAAACTCAAATGCTATACCAGCCCTTCAAAGTGAAATTATTGGCTGGATTGATACTGACTGTGTTAATCTCTATTGTCAATGATGTGCAAGAAGTAGTAAGAACCACAGGTAGTGACAGGCAAACTCTCTTTCTCCAGTTCTTGTACTTGCAAGTATACGTAGTACTTAAACAGAGCTAAAGGTTTCTGACTTTTATTAATAAAGCCAGTTCTAGAAAAGGAACAGGTTTGCATTCTTCTAATGGAGAAATCTAATAAAGTTTCCCTAAAGGATGGTGGAAATGAAAACCTTTCGAAACCTTTAAAATCTGATATTGAATAGCCCTAAAAAACTCTATTTGAAGAAAAGCCTTCTCATAACGGTTGACCTTTTCTAGCTCTTGTTTTCAAATCCCTTGTGTCTTGGAGTCATACCTTCCTCTCTATATATATTCTGTACAGCAGAGGCTGCGTGCGGGATGCTGGGAGGCTCCTCTGATGAGCTCTTTGCCTCCTGAGCTGCCTGGTGCTGGGGCAGAGTCTTGGCAATTCTTGGTGAGAGCCAAAAGGAAGCTGCCAGCAGCTCCCTGACGCTGTGGCCAGACCGTTTTCTCATCGTGTTGCCTACAGACACAGGAGACCGTGCGCTGCCCTACTTAATGCCTGTGTGTGAACCACCCAGCAGCTTCTCATAACCAAAGCTCATGGGGATGGGGCTTAATTACTGCTGGTAAATGACCCTTAAGCCTTGTAGGGTGCACTGTAAGTAAGAGCACTGTTTCTTAAATAGCTGTAAAGACGTTTTTCCCCCTGCCTGCTCTGTCTTGGAGTGCAATATTTCACAAGATTAAGTACTACCTATTAATTTGCTTGGATTCCAGCATAATGGGAAACACTACAGCAAGTCAGATAAAGTAACGGAGATGATCATTTTTATTGCCTTTGTGTAAAAACAGAACATGTGGCCTACTAGGTGGACTTCATCTTTGGTACAGAGTGAATGCAAGAGACCCTTTACAACCAAAGTAGTATCAAACACTTGATCCAGGAACTATGTTGTATATTTTCAGCTACATGATTCTAAACATTCTGTGTTTATTTCTTCCAGATTATAAATGCACTTGAAGAGGATCCAGCTGCGCAAAAAATGCAGCTTGCCTTCCGTTTACAGCAAATAGCAGCTGCGTTAGAGAATAAAGTGACTGACCTTTGACTCAAAAGCCGCAATAAAGAAATCTGATCTGAAGATGTTCAAATTCATTCTTCCTGTTAAGGAAATAGTGTTCTATTTTTTAATGTATAATTACAACTTTAAATGAAAGAGTTCATGTTTTTTTGATAGAGGTGTAATGTAAAGAATTTTTACTGTAAATTATGCTTCTAATTAAAAGCTGTGTTGTGTGTAAATGAATCTTCTGTGGGAAAGAGAGTCCTTTGGTTGGGGCCAGGGTGGGGGGTGGAAGAAGGAAAACCTATAATTTGTTTAATTTAGTAGAATCTGAGACATCAGCATTTAGGATTCATTATGCAAGTAAATTCAGTACTATAGCATCCTTTCTGTGTTAAGCAATATTTGTACTAGGAAAACAATAACATGCTCAGAGACACATGCAATATTCCCTTTTCTTTTGATAACTGGAAATTGACTTCCATGTAGCTCTAAAACTTAGTCTATGCTCATAACGAACATCATGAACAACGTGTCTGATTTCTCTGCAAGATCCGAGAATGGGATTTGCTACCACACACGGTTCTTAATTTAATTATTTACGTCCATGGTGATGCACAGTATTGCATCCACCTCAGCTGGCTGCGACAGAAATGAGAGTAATTGTCAATCTAGGAGGGTTCTACTGATAATGTCCCATTCGGTTCAGAAATCACTGCAAAGAAGGAATTAGTCCTTAAAACTTTACAAATCTCTGTTATTATTGTGAGTTTTATGATATATGCTAATGTGCCTTACTTGTACTAATTCTGTGAATCTGATGAATGGTTTTGTAAAATGAAGCAGATCAGAAAAAGAAATATTTATGTGCTATTGAATGACTTTTGTGTGAAAAACATGACCAGCAGAATGCTTGTAATTAGCTGCTTGCCGAGAGTGTGCTGTTTAACATGATTTGATTATGTATAATATCTTATTTTAGAATGGTTCTGACGATTTTTATTTGAATCTTGGAACTGTCCTAGAAATACCATCACTTGTTTTTATTGTATTTGTGATGTAAAATACTAGTATGATATTGGAAAAATCATATACCCGTCTATGGAAAACCACTCAGTCAGTTTTGAGCCTTGGAATGCTGCATTTGATTGAATACACACCATAACCCATAGCAAAGACAATTACAATAACTCGTCAGAAAGTGTGTGTTTACGATATAGGTAAGCTCCGTACAAATCAAAAAGTTAGGTACGTCTTCTTAAATTGCTGTATTGCACATCAGAGAACTTTATTCCTCTTTGTCTCGCAAGTTTTTTGGCAGTAAAGTAGCATTTTAATGAAGCGCTGCCATCTGTACTCCCCCTCGTTCGTTGTCCTGCCACGCACCCGGACTCTGCCGATTCTCAGCGAGGGAACGCGGTGCCTGCCGCCCGCTCTCCCCGCCCGGCGGGTCGTCGTACAGCGACTTTTACCGTTTGTTGATAGATTCTCCCCCCCGCCCTTCTTTTTTTTTTTTAATTTCCTAGTATTTGTCAGTGGGCCTTTCCTTCAGTTTCTGAAAATCAAAAGCCTCCCCAGAACTGGTTCCGTGGTCAGTAGGATGGGAGGGGTTTTTTGATTTGTTTTGTACTCGACTTCTTGCATTTGTGTATAGTCATTCCTGAACCTGCCTGGGCTATAAGTTATTTTATGCTCTTTAGGACTAAGGTACATGACTTCTACGTAAAGGTGCTTTGCCAGCTACTCCTTCCTCAACAGAGGCATCCTAATTTCATGGCTAATCTGTTTCTTTGTTATTATTTGTAAATCCTGTTAATTGTAAATCAAATACAATGTTTTTTTCCACCAAGTGTCATGGGATCTTTACTGAAACTGGAGGGCAGGGGGGATATTGAAAGGGGTTTGTAATGCTTCCTCCAGGGGTGATAGAGCAGCAGCACCCATCAGTCTGCGGTTGGTAATGGAGGAGCACAGCACATCCTGCAGATGGTATGCCTGACATCATGCCCTTTTTATGGGCATTTGCTCTGAAAAATGAGAGTACTCTTGAGAAGAGAGGATGTGTGTGCAACATCCTGTAGCGAGGACTTCTTGCCTGATGAAAATCTGTCTTGGGACCTGAAAGCCAATTAAAATACAGGCTCAGCAGCATCTCTCCAGAGATACCAGAAAGCCCTGCTTGAGCACGTAGGCTTTCAGAGGGAACGTTAAGTGTCCTCCGCCATCAGTGACTTGATGCAGGGCAGCTGCAGGCGATCATGAGCTGCTGTGGCAATGCTGCAGCAGGATCTTTATTACCTGTTAGACAAGCGTGCGTGTGTGTGTGTGTGTGTCTGTCTGTCGACGTGTGCGAGTTTGTGAAGGATCTGTTGGTCACTCTTTGGTGCCCTGTTTTTACATCCTGGGAAATACACAGACTTTCAGCACTGCAGTGCCGTCTGCCAGGGAACATGGAGGCAGAGAACTGTGAGCAGCTGCAGCTACAAAGGAGACTTAATGCCAGTTCTTCAGTTTCTCCAAGTCTCCTCTCCTGAAAGCACAGAATTGGAATTTGAATTGAAGAACTGAGCTGGTTTATTTTATTCTTTCCCCTTTTGGCTGAGCTCCTCCAGTGCTTGTTTTTCCACTCTGATGCTCTGTT